ATGACTGGTCATTATGGCGCCGAAGGCACCATACTCGAATAGCAAACTATTATTGGACTGGTATGAGGAAATACATGACTGATTATGTAAATAACTGCCCCAATGTTTTGAAACCTTGTCCATTGATCTCTTCGTGTCCCTACCTGAGAGAAAAGTTGATAAAAGATGGATCCTCATCATTTAGGATTGTACCACCAAGTGGGTCGAATTGTTTGCTCTACCCAATGGCACAGCTAAAGAATGTGCCATTACCTTGATTGAAGAGGTCCTACTGAGGTATAGCATTCCTTGCCGCCTTATCAGTGACAATGGAACCCAGTTTGTGTCAGCAGTGATGCAACAAATATGCTACCTATTAAACATCCATCTATCCCTGATCCCTGCATACCATCCACAAGCTAACCCAGTTGAAAGAAAGAATGGGGATCTGAATCCACGGCTGCCAATTCTCGTCCAAGACAAGCATGACTCTTGGTCAGAGAAGCTACCCTTCATCCGCTTTGCTTTTAACACAGCCAAATGCGAAACGACAGGACAGACGGCAGCCTTTCTGAATTTTGGTAGAGAGTTACGCACTCCAAGTGAAGTTGTTAATGATATCCGAATCATCATCCAGAACGATAATTTTGTGCCAGAGATAACTCCCTATCTTAAGAAATTTGCTAAATTTTCCACTCAGATTAGACAGGTGGTTGAAGAACAACAGTATAGTAAGAAGTTTTACGCTGATAAAAAGAGAAAAGCTGCTCCAACATATCAACCTGGAGAACATGTCTTTGTAGCATCATATCCGCTGAGCAACGCTGCGCAAGGAAGAAGTGCAAAACTAATGCCACACAGAGACGGTCCCTATGTGATTTTAACACAAAGGTCACCATCATCTTACGAGATTGCTAGTCTTGATAATCCGGGGGAACCTCTTGGTGTTTACCACACCTTTGCTTTAACTCCTTGTTATAATGACAAAGTAAAACCCTTATTCCTCTTCGTAAACGTGGCCGTCCACCAAAGGTCCCACAGACTCCTGGTTCCTCGTCGGGACGCCGTCGGAACCAGAGGGGGAGGATGTAACAAATGGTAATATTTATTATTTATTTATTGTAATGATTTAACCATTCATCCCAGCGTGTTAAAAATTGTAATTCTTTATTTCTCTCGTGTTTTATATTAATGCTTTATATTAATGCTCGTGCTTTCATTTATAAAAGTTAACTGTAATTATACTTATGGAAAGTTCTGGAACTTTTGATGGCAATAGATAAGGAGAAGGAATATTTATTTTGAAAAATAAAGTCTTGAGTTGTGTGTGTATGTGGTAAGAGTTGTTGACAATTTTTTTCGTGTTAAATAGTATAGTTTTTTTCAGATGCAGCAATAACATCTGGAAAATGCATTGAGGTTAACCTGAGCGGTGAAGGACTAATGCTGGGTATTCCTCATGTGGCAGAAAACTCGTCACGATGATTTTCTGAGATTAGTTTTTCAGTCAGTTTCATTCAAAATTGTTTAGGTGATCATGAACCTCCTTATTTACAGTACAAAAATGAAGGAATTTCACAAGTCCAAATCCAATAAATGGAAGAAAATGTTAGTATTTTCCTCTCTTTTTCTGGATGTAGAATAAGGAGCTAAATGCTGGTTAATTTTATATACACCACCCATTTGGTCATTGTAGTCAACTACACATTAGGCCTGGACTTTGTCTCTCCCCGTTTATTTGTTACATCCTGTCTTTCAATTGTATGCATTGTGGAAATTAGACTAACTTCCTTCTTATCTTTCCATGTCATTACAGTTACTTTCCCTCTCTAATACCCAATAATTTCTCCTTTTTTAAAAATTTCTTTGTCTTTAGATCTCGAGTTAAATCTTTTCTATTCAATCGAAATTTTCCACTCACATCACTCTTCCTTTTAACCAACGTGTCACCCAAACCGGGCGGGATAAAAATTGTCCAAACTGCCAACCAAAGCTGAACGTTTCCTTTCATTTCCTTCAGGCCGAGTAAAACTGGGATAAAAAAAATCGTACTGACAAATTCTGCTCGGGATAATAATTAGCTGTAATATATACTAACCCCAGATAACTCGGGATAATCAGGCAAGCGGTTACAGTTCACTACATATTCCCTTTGAAAATTTAACAAAATAATTTTAAATATCACCCTTAGACATGATGATGAACATAAATATACAAAGAAAAGAATTTAGCATTTTCAATTTCGAGAAATTTACGGTTTCACAGTGAAACCAGTGAACCTTAACGGTCCATTTTTCCTATTCGAACTAACTAATCCAAAAGATCATTCAGGAAAAAATCTATTATTTTAAGGCCATAAAACTTTTATATTTTAACGAAATCAATTAAGGAAAAATAATTTTAAAAGTTTTAAATTATTTTTTAAAAAGTTTTCTGCATTTTTATAATTTTATTCCAATTTTGACATAAAATTACATACTAAAGAAATTTATGTCCCTTAATAAAAAATTGCTAGTCCATATGAATTTTCCCCATCTATAATTTTTAAGAGAGAATATTTATATTCATTATATACACACACAGGGTCGCATTTAGACCGGGTGGCAAAATTTTAGAGTGCAGACAAGTATTGTTAAGTACAAAAATTTCTCACTATAATTTTTAAAGTAAATAAATATTTTACTAAGATATGCAATGAACAAATAGTGCTTCAAAAGGTCAGCTCTGCTTCTATTCCTAAATTCTCTAAATCCCAAAATTCGCTAAGCTATTTCCAAATATTGGATTCATTAACAATAACACTCATTGTTTAAAGCTCCTCCCGATCTGACCCAAATAATGTCTCTATTGCTACAAGATTTTTGCTTAGACATGTAATTCTACCTGTAACTACTTGATAATAATAGTCCACGCCAATAACAGTTGATATTTTTTTATCGTTAAATTCATAAGAATCAGCTAATTGTACATTTTTTTAAATATCTAAATTTTTTATCAGGGGTTGGTAAATGTGTAATCGAAATATGTTCTGTCTCGACCGCTTCTATTGCAACGTACAAATTTGGATCATGCCTGTTTTTCAATTTTATTTTAACTATATTTAAGGTTTTTATTTCAGTTTTTTTAGCACCAAATGTGCAAATGGAAAGGTTTTCTTTTCTAAGAATTGGAAACTTAAATTTCTCAGAAGTACTCTTTAAACGAAATTTCTTTGTGAGCCATTATCTAAGAATAATCTAACAACTTCTTGTTCATTTTTGTCATCTATTAATTCAGCACATGTTTGTAATAATACACTATTTACTTCAGTTTTAAATACTGCTGAAACTATATATTTGTGTCACTTTTTGAAGAGAAATCGTCACCACATGCGATTTCGAAAACATATTGTGAAATGGTGGGAGCCATTACAAATAGGAAATGACTTTCTTTTTACACATTCCATTGTTCTACGGCCGGACATGAGGCTCAAATAACATCCCCTTTTTTCTTAAAATTTCTCTCTTTTCGTTAGCGCGTAAGAAATGGCAGGCCTCGACTTCATGACCTTTGTTGCAGTATAAACATTTGCGGCTTCGATGCGATTCACAGTGATGGAAAAGAAGTTGGTCCGGGGAGTTCTGTCATCGGATTTCTCTTACGATGTCCGGATTAAAAGGAGCTTTTATTTTTGTTCTGTTTTGTGGTGGAGGGAAATAATGACATGGTTTATGATTGTTTATTTGAGAGGCTCGTTTCAGAACTTCGAATTTCAAAGTTCATTAACCGCAAAAGAGCACTTTGGTTAAGCCCTTAGTCCAGGGTTGTCCAACCCAAATGAAATTGCGGGCCACTTGGGAAAAATATTATAATATCGCGGGCCACACATAAAAATATATACCTTTATATCAAATTTGGAAACAAAAAAACATTTATTGGAGTGAAAATTTAAAACCTTTTTCTTTTTAGTGTACAGGATTTAAAACCTGATAATGAAATTACGGATTCTGTAATAAATCATGATTTGACGTATCTGTACAAGAATTATTTACTACATAAACTTTGGAGGAAGTAGAAAAAATAATTACATTGAAACAAAACTTTTGGCGCTGCAATCATTGTGGAAGTGGAACGACTTAAAAAAATATGGTTCAGTGTGATGATTGCAGCTACTGATAACATTGGAAATGCGTCAATTTTAAGAATGGGTCAAAAATTAAAAATTGGCTTGGTCCAGATTGTTCTATAAAGTAAAAGATTGCGATGAAGAGAATTATGGCTCCTGGCGATACCTCTATAAAAAAACGCATCGAGATTCCTACCTCATGGTGATGTAGAAACGGGATCAATATCATAAATATTTCTAATATGCATTGCTTATTTCCCACATGTAATTAATTATTTTAAGAGAGAGCAACCAAGAGCTGGGAGGCCCCTGATCACCCCTAAGATGTTCTCCCTCAAAATTGGCGTGGAACCGAGCCAAAACGTACTGTTACCTGAATGGTGCTCAAAGCTACGGCTAACGACAAGCGTACTTGTAGCCCTTTGCAGCAATAAAGTTCTTGGACCTCGATCTGACATCGTCAGAAAGGTGGCATTAGTAACAACAGAGAGAGAAGCATTATTTTATAATAACTTATTATTTAGTGTACTAACTCATCAATAAAAAAATGCACATTTCTTACAGATTAATTAAAAGAAAAATGTTTTCCAGTGCGAATATGTGTTCAAAAATTATACTTTGGATGATATTTAAGATATTTAATTCCTTCTTAGGTCAACAAAGAAATTTTTTTATTTTAGTTACTTTTTATTAAATAGTTACAATTAATATAAATATGTACATACATATACGACAGACTTACAATATTAAGTGACAAACTAAAAAGCGATTTTCCTTGCAATTTTTCATTTTTTCTTTTTATATATATGGTGTTAGACTATTTTTTTTTGTTTTTTACTATTTATTCATTTATTGCATTTAATTATTCCTATAAAATAGTATTGCAAAAAAGAAATCACATTCTGAGAAATTAGGCCATCCCAGGAGGGATTCAAACCCACGACCTTTGGATTAGAAGTCCAACAAGAGCTATTCATTGCTCAACAGGTGCACAATGAACGATTTTCCTTTCTATATATGCTGTTGGACTATTATTTTTTTTACTTTTTATTCATTTTTAAAATTTAATGAATGAATTAATATTTGAAAAAAAAATACAACAATGGTATTAACATCAAGTGTCATCCACTGCTAGTTTAAAAAGATGTATTTGAACTTCAATGGATGAATAGAAAGTATTTTATTAACGATCGAAAAAGAGTGAACTAGTAGTAGGAATTAAATAAGAAACAAACGACATAAAATACAAGCATTCCTTCAATATAATTAAATAAAAAATTAAGATTTTAATGAGAATTTTGCCCTTGTAAAGCTATACCTAATTGCGCAATATCAGGGGTATAGTTTGTGATTTTCAATTTAACACATGATTTTAATTTTGAGTTGTTACGGGGGGATACAGATTTTATATCAGAAATTTTTTTTTAACCAATTACACCAATTTTTTTTATAATTTAAATGGACAGGCTAGTTAAAGAAATCTATAGAACAAAATACTCACAGACTATTACATTTTTGAAAAACTTTTTTTCTTAATTAATGAATAATTTTGTATTTGTGTTAGAAAATATTACAAAAAGATGTATCGTGTAATTATGCAAAACATTTTAAAAATTAATTACTGAATCTAATTGTAAAGTTGGAGCTATATTTATTAAAAATTTGGTAGACAGTTTTCTCAACCGGTATAGAAACTAAATGTGAATATAGTTGGAAATAGATTCCAAAAATAAAAGAATATTCGATATTTATCATCTAGTTATTAGCCGTCATGTAGAAGTATTGATACACGTTAAATCTATTTAAGCTCAAACGTCTTCTCATTGGTTTGGTGTGGAAGTTAAAACAGGGGTGCCAGCTCAGGTGTCGTCCTCGGCACTTGATCATGGTTCAAAATTACGAGGTCCGTCACCAAAAGTCCTCGTGTAGCTGAACAGGGCGACATTAATTCTCTCTCTCTCTCTCTCTCTCTCCAGTTATTGAAATTTTCATCGATTTGCAATTCTATAAACGAATTTAGAATATCTCTTTATAAAGCTAATAATTTATTATATAATAATGGTGTCTGTTTGCATTATAATCATTTGCTCATACTAAAGGGGAAAAAATGTTTATTCCTTAATATGTGTTCTTTGTACATTAAATTCTGTACTTTCAACTGCTTTTTCTAATTTGATCATTTATATTTTGTAATCAAATATTATTCCTTAACTCAGTAGCGCAACAGCCGATGAGAGCCAAGACCTGCTGTGCCCATCTCAGTATACGTGACCTTGGGCGCTGAGTTGCGTGAGCAGATGCTTTGGTCATATGGTCAATATGACGCGAAACTCCCAGTGTGTAGTTCCCAAGCAAGCATGGCACTCATTTATCGACCCACTGAAAGGATGAAAGGATGAGTCGACCATGCGCAGCCCAGGGTTTGAAACTCGCGCCTGTGTTGTGGAAGCCTGTTCTTATGAAATCAAATGGCCTTATATTTCAGCAAAAAAATGCTACAGTTGCAATTTGATAGAAATTATCTGTGTCAACACCCATTTTGCGATATTCAATGCTTCACCATATTCTCTATCACTTTGCGTGATTAAATTTTTATACGTCATTATGAACTAGGATTGGTACAATTTACTGTATTTAACATTAAATGAAAAGCAATTGATTTACACTAGAGGACTGTAAATATTATCTTTGACTCAAAATTAATTTTTCCCCCACTTCAGTATTTATCAAAAACAACACGGAAGAATAACAATTAGAAGTAATACTATTATATGGTTGAATAAATAAACTATTTTCAGAATATATGCATGTTTTGAAGATTTAAGAAGCAGAAAAAATAAGATTATCATCCTTATCCCCCATACACTAATTAGTAAGAATCACGCTTTCATGACTGTTTAAAAAGTTTGGGAGGAGGAGGAGGTTTGGAACTCAATAATTAAATTACAACAGGAATTTAAGTATGATGTCCATTATAAAAGTAAACGTGTCTTAAAATTTTAGAGACATTCTTAGAAATAGAATTTTAGTTTTATAATTAGTTACACACACATTTCTCTCTCTATAGATAAACTCTAATTAATTTATTTAAAGTTAGCAAGGATATAAAATTACGGCCAGAAAATCTTGTAAAAAATTCTGATCACTTTTTCTTAAAAAAAAATTAAAACATGCTTTGTATACTAATATTAATATAAATTTAGAAGTGCTCTTTTTTTTTAGTAATTTGTAAATAATTGGCCGTATGATTTTTAACATAGCAGAGAATGCATCTCTTTTATTTAAAATAATTTACTGTAAGGAAACAAATGTGTGAAATTGTAGTTTCTATTGTTGCTAAGCTAAAAAATATTTCAATAAACCTTTTCGTTCATTATACAGGCTTTTAAATAAGGGAATTTATTTTTAATTCGGCGTTTAATATAGTTATTTTAGAAGAGGAAACAATAAGAGAGTATCCTATGGTGTCTTATGGAACTAGAATTCTTGCTGTTTAAAATTGTGAATTTTTAGCTTTCTCTTTAAAAGAAAACTTATTGCGTGTAAATTAGGCATAGCGTGTAGAATTTAGGCTTTTCTCATTCCATTTTATTAAAAACTATAACACAGGCAGTATGTAATTCAATTTTTGTCTTGCTCAAACTTGAATTTCATTAGGTACAAAAAAAAAAGAATCGCTTCCACAAATATGTATTTATATATTTATATATGAATAATTACATTTAGCAGTAACATGTAATTGAAATTCTTTTTTTCATTATTTTATTTGCCACAAATTAGTAACAAATTGAGTCGAGTTTATACATTATATGTGTAGATATATGATTATACTATGGAAGGATATATACTAATTTCCGTTTGAAAATGAGTTTAATTTATAATCTGATCTAGCTTTCAAGTATGAGAAAAAAATTGTTTCTATGAATTGTTATTAGTAAAACAAGTATTTACGATTACGTAACGATTAAAATGTAATTTGATGACCCACAGAATGAGCGAAACAAATCACCGATTTAATAAAAATCTATCAATGAATATTCAGTGCACAAGCTATCTAACATTATAAATAAACATTGTATTTTGTAGAAGAGAAAACTAAATACGAAAATAAGCATTTCAAATCACTTAAGTAAAAGCTTTTTATTCTGTAACTCAAAAAACTTACCCTTTCGATTTATAGTAATAACATTTGAACACATTTCTGAAAGATCCGACTAAATTACTAAATTGGTTATATTTAAAATACTTATTTTCGTAGCATGTATAAAATGTACTATAGAGGAGCTGCTTCTTTTTTGAATTTCTGTGTCATGAGTAATCGTATTATTTAAATTAATCCAGTATCGTTTCGTTAAAAACCCGGGATTTCAAAAAACAATAATGTAAGCGCTTTCTCCTCGTAATCGTATTACTTACCACTGCAATTACATAATTCAACTTTTTATTCAAAAAATAATGAACAAAAAAATTATTTAATTTCAATTAAAATAAATTTGCTCCGTGTATTTAAACTTGCTATTTCGAAAGATGGTTATATATATTTTTATGCTTTCGATAAGAATCCAGCTTTAAGCATACGAATACGTTCACGCCCACTGCAAAAATGAATGATTGGCTTCGTATTCAAAGCAAGCGCCGATATTGGCTAGAAATTTGCTAAGCTCTGTAACCCTGCCGACTGTCATCCCCCTGTTTCCTTCCCCTCTCCTCTTTTAAAAAAATTGCTCTTTATTTAACGACTTCCAAAATTTTCATCTTCAAAGCACGCGCTTTACGCTGGATTTTACGGTAATTTTTGTTTTAACACTCTTTATTCTTATTTTGAAATTTTTTATCTGTGCTATTTTATACATTGGAGTAAATTGTATTCATTCAAAATTTTATTCTCTTAGACATTTAATTTTGTTATAAACAAATAATTTTGAATGTCGTGTCTTGAAAAATTAGATAAATAGTCCAGCAGCAAAGAAAATTTACTAACATACTTTAAACATAAGACATTCTGAGCATTTAGCCTGTGTTGCTCTATAATCCCCTTCAACCATTCATTCAATCAATCAATCAATTCTGAGCATTATGCAATCTTTGGCAGTAAGCATAGAGATCTAAGAATTAGACAATCCACATGTAATCTTCTCGTGAGAAATAGAATCTAAAAAATAATAAGTAAGTGATAATCATGTGTTTAAGTAATGTAAAATATTTTTATGAAACTGCTTAGGCAAGGAAAAACTTGACTTCACCAAGTCACTAGGAAAGTGAGAGATAGCAATTTATTTTTGATAGAAATATCTAGTAAATGGAAATATAGGATTTATAATACTTTTAATTTTAGAAATAAATTGAGACCTATGTTTAAGAAAATTATACTCTTATTAAGAAGCATTAAGTGATGTATAAAATTAAAATTTCAAGTAATATTAAGTGAGATTATAACATACGTATGTATATGCACTTATAAAGTCATACACATATGTATATTATATCTCAGTTACTCACTAACAAGACTAGCTCATGAAATAATATAACAATTTTACCAGAGTATATATATATATATATTTGTTTGGACCACTAAAACCACATTTAGTAGCTATGTATAACAAAAAAAAGATATCTTGAGTTTCTCTCATGAAACCATTGTGTTGAAATTGGCTAATATGAAAAATGTCTGTTAGCCTTGAAATTGAAATGTTTTTTTGTTTTAGTACTTATGCATTTTATTGTCACCACAGCAAAATTTATGCTACACAAATTGGACCTTGATATCGAAATAACAAACCTTTTGTGTTTTATTTGAAGAATTCTATAATGGTGCAATTTTGGCTGCAGCAATGCTAATATATATGTAAGTACCATTATTTCAATACTGACAAAAATGAATTCAATACTATATGTGATACAATAACAATATACCATAATGATACTTTAAAAATAAATTATATACGACTTATTCATGACTTTGTTTTAAAGTTTCAGATACATGGTATTTAA